CCTGCTTTCCAACCCGCTACACTCTTATCGCTTTCAAATACGGAACACCGCAAACAGAAGTGGTTTATGCACATCAAGCGAGTATTTTTTGTGCTCTCGAAGCAAGAGGAACACGTATCTTCCCGCTCTTCCCGCCATTTTGTTCCAAAAGATCAAAACAAGCTGTGTACGCATGACAAAATGGGAAACATGCAGAACTCTGGGTCAAAATCAATTTATTTCATGTATTTGTAATGTATGCATTAGGTTCGGTACATGAAAAGTTCGACGTTTGAATCGGAGTCGCCCCGTAGTCGAACTGACCGACTGGCCATGTCGAACTTTATTCTCGGGTCGACCCAAATAACATGAGTCGAACTTAATTGATTCAAACGTCGATCTCGTCATGTACTTAATTGGGGCTATTAGGTTCGGCTCATGAAAAGTTCGACGTTTGAACCGGGCCTTAGAAATGGTACAATCCGTGCACTCTAACCGGAGAATAAGGCTGATTGTTTGAGCCTCAATTTTCCTGAAAAACGTCACGTGATGCCAGTGAAAGGTATAATGCATTTCCGAGTCCGTTGTGACGCTAACGAAGAACAACATTTATGTCAATTCAAAACATATATCTAAGCGACCAATCCAAGTATTAAGTTTACGCCTTGCTTCTCTTCTCCTCAGTTGTATTATCCTCAGGAAAGGAAAAAAAATGCATAAATTGCGTTTATGCCCCACTGAAACCACCCGCCTAATTCTGCGTTTTGTTTAGCCGGAGGGCATGCTTAAAATTCAAGTTCAAATCAACCTAGTGAGTGCCGCGTGTCATCTACTGAGTTTACTTCATCCGCTAAAGAAAAACTATCTGTTCATGTGTAACCGCCAGTATTTAACAAAACCAAAAAGAGAGACGAAGAAATGGATTGCTGTAGGGGAAAGTGAGATGACTAGTGCAAAGTAGTAAGGTATACAATCCCAATTTCTGGTGATCCTGATCTAACTGTTTCCTTTTTATATCATGTACCCGCGGCTCAACCTGTAAACTTAACATCTATACTTAAAGGAAGGGGTTTGGAAGTAGAACCTCGGTATGGTTTGCTATTGCTTTACTAAACATTGCGCGCTTTTCCCTCCTAGCAACCAAACCCATCGCGTGTTTGCGACAAGCGCAGTCACGATATCCGTGACTCGGAATATGTAAGAGGCGGTTGACAGCTGCACGAATTACGAATAACGCCTGTTCCTAACATCAGTGGAAGCAAAGGTAACTAAATTTATTTTGCTATTTTCTTTTTTGCCTAATCACTACGCTCAGTGTACTGGAGACAAGTAAGAACTTCGCTCACGGTGTAATAAACACTGAAAATGGCGCTGACAATGGCAATATTTCTCATTACTTTCACATCTTTCACTACAAAGAAACAATTACGAAAGAAGCCTTCTTTGGTAGCAGTCGTCAGTAATTCAAATTTAGTAAAGCGCAGCATCTGTGGAAAGACAGCTTCGAAATCTTAGAATGACTTACACTCAAAAACACATTGACTTAAATTTCCGGCGCTAAGAATGACTAGGACTGGAGACCTCCCTGTCGTGTTTGGACGCCTATAAACAACATGGCGGATTGAAAGACTCAACGTATTACTGAAACTATTGCTGCAGAATTTAAAAGAGCTATCCTTGAGTAAAAAACTTAGATTGTCCAGGTGGAGGTATGAAAATAACAGGGCCTTTAAATCGTCGATGTCTCTGATGTTACTAGCTTAACATTCAGCTTAAATGTAGCTTATTATTGGGCAAAATTTAAGACAACTTCGAAAATGACCCGCTACAGATCCTTCAGTATGGTGTGGGGAAAACAAGCGAAGGGTCTTCAGAGTCGAAAAAAGACGATACCGTTATGATGAGCAAGTTTTGAACTCTCTGATGCAGTGAATTGTAATAACTGGTTTCGAAATTGGTAGGAGGTTTGGATAGTTATGGCACATCACTCACTGACAAGATAACGTCACGCAAAACAAAGCGCCCAAAAGTCTGTATTATATCTGATCGCATGAAGTCTCTGTCGCAACCGATTTGTTGACGGTAAGGGCACAGGTTTTTAAACCAATCGTATTCTGCCACGTTTTGCCTATTGTGTGTAGAAACAGTATAAATTAATAGTCGAAGGTTCAAGGTAATGGCGTAGACCGAAGGTATAGCGCGCAAAGGATTCAATGCACAGGAGTGTGACGGAAATAAGCAGATATCAGCGAGCAAGCAGGCAAATTTTGTGTTACAAGGTTTTTAAAACGTGATTCGCTCGTCACGATTCGATGGGCACGTTGAGTGTTTTCTGTTATGTCGTCAACACAATTTCCAGCGGCAATGTATGTATCCTTGTTGAAGTCCTTCAGTCTTGAAAAACCCAAACATATCTGTCACATATGTACTTTATTTGGAAACGTAATGATAAAATCAAAAGATCTGCACTTATCAACAACATTGAAAATGGGGGACTTAAAATGCTTGACATCGAGTCCATGATCTCAGCACAAAGAGTCATGGCTTTAAAGAAATTTCGCTAATGGTAATAGTTCCTGGAAAGCTATTTTAGATGAATTTCTTTGCAACGTAGGAAGAAAATTCATTCTTTTTTGTGACTTCGACACTCGTAAACTTCCAGCTTATATTCCAGCTTTCTATAAAGTGTCTTGATGCATGGTCGGAATTGAAGACTTCAAATGTTGTTTCGTATGAGGATGTTATCGACCAAATCATTTGGAATAACAACAATATTGTTGTGGACAAACAATCGCTTTTCGAAAAACATCTGTTTTGTCAGGGAATTGTCAAAATTGGGGACTTGCTATCTAACACGGGCGAATTTCTTCAAAGTTCGAAGGTATTGGTAGCAATTTTATCCCCAACTCAATATTTTAAGCTAATAGGTGTTGTGGATGCTATTCCCATCGCGTGGAGACATATTATAAAACAGTCACAAACAAATCAACATTTCTATCCATCAATCCTTGGAGATAAAGTATATATTGAATTGGATGAAACTGAAATCGATTTGTCCAAAGTAACATCAAAATTACTGTATAACCAATTTAAAACTAAAAAACAAACTCCTCCCTCTGCTCAAAAAAAGATGAAAAGCAAATATCCCCAACTTGCGATTGATTGGAAAAAAATCTATTCTTTACCGTTAACCGTCACAGCAGAAACAAAAATCAGAGAGTTCCAATATAAAATACTGAACAATATCGTATACACCAATCATAAGTTGTTCCGTTTTAAAATGATTGAATCGCCTTTGTGCACCTTCTGTCAGAAAGAAGATGAATCCCTCGAGCATTTACTCTTTCATTGTAATGTAACAAAAAACTTTTGGCTTGCATTCTCATCTTGGATTACACCTTTTGCTGTTCATTTACAGAAAATAAACATTCATTTGTGTCCAAGTTTCTTTCATTATGATCATTAAACTCTCATTAACACCAATATGACCTTCATTTGCGCGTAAGGATCGTTCAAGAAAAACATTTACATATGCATTAACATTCAAAATCATCAAAAGAAAAACAATACCTTCATTTGTAATTCATTGACTGTAAATGTATTTTCATTTTGGTCGAAAAAAAATTCGTTGTCACGAAACGACAATCATTTACACTTTACGACATTCATTTTTCAACAAAAGACTTTCAATAACATAATTTGCATGAGAACTAACATTCAATTGCGTTATTAGGCAACCATATCCATGAAGGTAACAATGTTTAATGCGGCGAGACAAACATTACAGCCATAATAACATTTATTTTTGAAAGATAGAATATCAAATTCGCTGAACGATTTATCCTTCAATTGCCTCACTA